AAAGGAGGAAAAAGAAACGGATAGAATAAAAAAAAAAAAGAAAGGAAGAAAGGTAAAGAAAATAAAAAGGTTAAACAAAAACAAAAATGATGATACTGATGAATACAAAAAAAAAAAAAAAAAAAAAAAAAAAAGAAAGAAAGAAAAAAAAAAGAAAAAAAAACAACAACAACAAAAAAAAAAGCAGAAAAATAAAAACACAAAGAGAGAAACGTCAGTAATGGTTGTTATTATCATTGATTAATTCTACGACTAATTCCATGAAAATTCACTTTTTTTCTTTCAGATTATCCGAGGAAACATTGGACGAGATCGTCGCCCGGGTTTGTTAGTTTGAACCAGAACAACGAGAATCGTCATCCATGTCCGAATTGTTATAGAAGCTATAAACATCGTAGCCACATGATACGTCACTATAGATACGAGTGTGGAACGCCACAGAGATTCGAGTGTCCTTACTGCAAGCATCATTTACGTCAAAGGACACACGTTTGGACCCATATACGTACATTGCATCCTAATCGGGAACTTTATTGTATCGACATCGGTACTAACGCGAGATTAACCAGACAAGATCACAAGAGCGATTAAAATCTTTTCGATATAGTTCAAACGCGAATAAGAAGGATACTTTTCCTTTTTTCTTTTCGTTTCTTTTTTTTTTTTTTCTTTTTTCTTATATTTTTTTTTCTTATATATTTTTTTTTCTTCTTTTTTTTTCGAGAAAGAAAATACTTCGCCTCATATCTTATTCGCATTAGAGGAGCTGCTTTGTCGAAACAGTACGTACGATTTCGAAGGATTTATTAGGATAATTGATTAGATTTAGAATCATTTTGATTCGATCAAATCGATTGAATGATTGAGAATGACGATGAAAGATAACGTTCAGAGATTATTGTTTTCGAATTCGCAGAGTTGGACATCGTTGATATAAGTAATACGTATAAAATAATAGACAGATTGATTTTTCTTTATTTATTATATTTTTTTTATTTTGTTTTTTTCTTTTTTTTTCTATTTGTTTCTAAAAGACAATAATAAATTTATTTTTTTTATTGAAACTCGTTGAAATATGAAATGTTCAAGTTTAGATAACATTCGAATTTCGTTTATTAAAGAAATAGGTTTGATCAGAGTAATGGAGGAGGTTGGAGAGAGAGAGAGAGAGAGAGAGAGAGAGAGAGAGAGAGAGAGAGAGAGAGAGAGAAAGGGAGAGAGAGAGAGAATGTTGTTTAAAAATATAAAAATATTGTTGGAGTTATACAATAAAGACTATTATCGTTCGATTAATTTTAATAAATCATTTCTAATATTTCAAAGGGCGTGATTAGAACACGCGATATAAGTATTTCTCGATCAATTATGTTCATTATAAATAGATTACGAAAGAATATAAAGTTGATTTGTTTTATTTTAATTTAATTTACTTTTCATTCTTTTTTTTTTTCTTTTTTTTTTTTTTTTTTTTTTTCTTTCTTGATTTATTTTATTGGATAGATCTTATTGTCGTTAACGAGTTAAAGGATCGAAAATAAAATTAGATTGGTGATCACGGATTATCGAATTTCCGAAAACTGTGATAGCGTAGGCACAGTTCAAAGTGTGTTCCATGTATATATGCATTGTTTTGTCTGATTCTGTCTGGTTTGTCTGTTTATATTGAAGAAGAAGATGAAATGTAATATTTGATATCGATGCCGATGACTTTAGTGCATGTTAATCTTAATAGAAGAATGAATTCTAAATTCATAAGTCCCAAAACCCATTCTTTTTTTTTCTTTTTTAATTTTTTTTGTCGTAAACTTACATCCATTCGAGTTATCGAAGGAAGTATCGTAAAA